GCCCCGGTGTCTCGCGTCTCCACGATTTGCATAGAATGTGACGTTTAGTCGCGTGCCCCAAGCACGTACAGCTCTCGGAGGGGGCAACTGTATACCTCCACGCCAACGCTCTCGCTCGGGAATCCCGTCACCTGTCAACAGCGTGCACCGTGCTTCCGTGAAAACTTTACTTAGTTTCAGGCCCTATACCCACACATTACGTTAGTATGTTATATATGCTCTTTTTTAAAACCGATCGACGTCACTTTTTTTCGGCTCCATCCCCCCTTGCAGACTTTTTCGTCAGCTTTGCGTTTCGTGGTATGCTATCCTCGATCTTCGTATACTTACATTGTTATTATTATTATTATTATTTTTTCTAGAAAACACGCGTTCACAAATATCGTTTGTTAATAATAAACCTTTTTATATTTCATAAATAAAAAATATAGTACAATTATTCGTACATTTTTATACACACAATCGATATATCCTTCTTTTCTTGTTCCTCTCTCTCTCTCTCTCTCTCTCTCTTAACTACAAATCAAAGTACTAACCGGTAAATGGTAAAGTTTGCACTAAACGCGCTGCGCGTTAAACTATACACTTGGGCGATTCTTTTCCATAGTAACTATATTTCACTAGCACCTGTACACGGACACACTCCATCCATATTTTGATTTCCTCCGAAAACCAATTGGCACATTGAAAAACACGCAAAGACGTCCCAACGCGCAACTTTTCGAGTGTTCGTTTCACTCTTCGTTTTCAATAGAAAAAGTCCAAACGCTAGGGTCTCGAGAGCGTGCTCGGGTGGTACAGCGTGTTTCCCCACTCGTACGGGCCATCGTGGGGACCAACGGAAACAATCGTCCCGGGCCCGAGCGTCGTGTGCGAGCCGGAACTTATCATCCCCGGGGCCGAGGACACGTAGCTCAGGGTGGGTCGCGGTTGATTCTGCAACCGCGCGTGCTTGGCCTCCTTTTTGAACCTGAAACGCAACAAACAAATTCTCTCGTAGACCTACACTGTGTCGTGATTTTTTTTCACCTCCTCGTGATGGAACACGAGCTCACCTCGAGTGCATGCAGCAGATCGTGCAACTGGCGACCACGGCGACCACGGCGATCAGCGAGGCGATGACCAGGACCCACATCTGGGTGGCCGACGCGTCGGTTCGCGTGGGTGTGGTCGCGCAGTTCTGGACCTTCTCGACGTGGAACTTCTTGTAAGCCGTCTTGAGCTCCTCGTTCTTGGGATCGTTGAGCAGGGCCTTCATCTCGCCGAGGCTGTAGGACTCCCGGCCGACCATCTGGAAGCACGAGCTCGTCGACGAGAAGTCCAGGGAGTTGTCCTCCTTGGCATAGAACTGGGTGTCGTAGACGTTCACGGATATGGGGAGGAGCAAGGCTTGCTGGACGGCCCTCTCGAATTCGTCGAGCCGCTTGCGTACCTCGACCGGTGGCTTTGAGAAGACAAACTTGAGCATGTCCCGGTCCCTCAGCAGGAATATCCGCAAGGTGACGTTCGTGTCCCGGCTGGGCACGAGGGAGTTGTTGGCCGAGACGGGGACCTCCATGTAGCCATCGGCGTAGGTAGACAGCGAGCCCGTCGTCCTTATTTCCCCGGTCCGGTTGTTCAGGGCCAGCGGCGGTGGTATCGAGCCCCTCGACATCGTCTGCTCGACCAGAGACACAAAGGACACCTCGCCCATGTTGTAGTTGATCGGGAGCGCGTCGGCGTCCACGTCGGTGGCCTCGAGCGTTATCAGGCTCGTGTCGATGGGGACGTTCAGTCTTACTCCGATCGTGAAATTGTGCTTCTTGAACTGGGGCCGGTTGTCGTCGATGTCGACTATCCTCACGAGGACCTGTCTCTCGGTGGGATCTTGCCTGTTGTACGGCTTGGGCACCACGTCGACGTGGCGCGTCGAGTACTTGAAACACTTAACGGTGAGCAGGTACTTTTCGGCCACTTCCCTGTCCAGCCTGCCGGTGGACTTGATCACGGCGCTGTTGTTGGCGAGACGCTCGACGGCAAAAAGTCCAGCTTCGTTGCCGTATATGATCGCGTAGTCGATCATCCCGTTCTCCCCGACATCCTCGTCCATCGCTTGAACGGTTCCTATTCTCGTGCCCACTGGCACCTCCTCCTTGACGTTGAACTCTAGCGGCGGACTGTAGAAGCTCCGCTTGAAGTGCGGCTTGTGATCATCGATGTCCATGACCTTGACCTGTAAAATACGGGTCGCCTGCTGGGGTGGCTCGCCAAGATCCTGGGCCACGAGGATCAGAGTGTAGCTATCCTTGGTCTCGCGGTCGAGCAGCTTCTTCGTTATTATGAGGCCCGTGTCGCTGTTGAGCTCAAAGGCGCCGGCGTCGCTGCCGGAATTGCCATCTTCCAGAAACTTGAAGGTTATCTTCCCGTTTGGCAAGCTCGGGTCGTCCGGGTCGGAGGCGACCACCTGAAAAACGGGACTGCCGATAGTCGAGTTCTCGGCAATTGTGGCCACTTCGTCCAGAGTCGGCCTGATGAACAGAGGGACACCATCGTTGCTGACCACGTCACCGATGTACAGGGTCAGCTTGACGTCCGAGTGGAGCGGTGGCTCACCAGAGTCCTGGGCTCGTACCCTCATAAAGTACGGCTCCGTGCGGCCTTTGCCGGTCAGTTCTCGGCTGGACATTATCTCGCCCGAGGTATGATTTATTTTGAATAGACCTAAAATAGCACGAGGACGTACAATTGGTTTTCATGTGTGGGAAAATAATCAACAGCCACCGGGATGCATCGGATACACGTACCATTGGCTTCGCCTTCGTCGATGATTTCAAAACGCACTACTCCCCCAGCGCCTTCGTCCGGATCGGTCGCGGTGATGTTAACGACGCTAACGCCGGTCGGCGCGTTCTCCGGCACGACCGCGGTGTACGAGTCCTGGGGAAACATCGGGGCATTGTCGTTAACGTCGAGGACGTCGACCGTAACCAGCGCCCTTGCCGTTCTTTGCTCGGCTCCTCCCTCGGGCATGTCGGCTGCAATGGCGTACAAACGAAGCACCGACTGTCTCTCTCTATCCAGGGTCGTGTTGGCTGCGATCTGAAGACAACGTCCATGTACATGATTGGGCTCTTTTTTGAAAAAAAAATAATAAGCGCACAATATATACTCACTCGTATACTACCATTGACGGGGTCTATTTCAAACAGGTTGGCGTTCTCCCCTGTGAGGGAGTACCTGACCACCCCATAGCCGCGTTTGATCTCCGCCTCGGAATTGGCGCTGTCCATATCGGTAGCTTTGACCGTAAGCACGACCTTGGGTGGTTTATCGGACTCCAGGACTGCGATCTTGTAGTCCTTCTGGGTGAACTCGGGACTGTTGTCGTTGACGTCCTGGACAGAGACTTGTACGTTCGCCTCCGACATTCTCCTCGTGATCTCGTAGTCTCTGGTCAGAGCTCGCACCTTGAACCTGATGACCTGACGATGGACCACAAACGTCACCACTCGAGACTCGCACAGGTAAATGACTTGAGAAACGGAGATGACACGTACCTTTTGGCCCAAAGCCTCGTAGTCCAATCGGCTGTTAAGAACAACGTTGCCACTTTGGACCCCGACGTTGACGTAGGCTCCGTCGTTGTCCCCACGCGCGAGCTCGAACCTCTGAATCGCGTAGCCGGTCTGGGGCTCCTTGGCCATCAGCATCAGCAGAGTCGTGCCGAGCGGTTGTTCCTCGGGTACCGTAAGTTTGATGGTCGGGTTGTTGGGTGACCAGCCGGGATTCGTAAAGGTCGGGTTGTCGTCGCTGTAAGCCTGCACGTAGACCGCCACCTCAGCCTTGCTGACCTGCTTCTCCTTGTCAAAGGCGGCATTGACATCCCTTGCCTCGATCGTCAAGATAACGACGGCCACTGTCTGGTAGTCCAGGCCTCGGTTCACGGCTATCGCCCCGCTGCTACTGTTCATCCGGAAGGCCGTCCTGTAGTCGTACACGCTGCTCTTGAGGGCCACGCCGGTCTTGTCCATGGCCCTGATCGGCTCGACTATCGAGTACTCGATCTCTGCGTCCACGTCGGGGTCGACCGCCGTTACTTTCAATACAGTTTCTCCTGGACCAGAAAAAAAAAGATCGGTAACGCATAGATCCGATTTTTTTTTGTCCAATTATTAACAGACACCTTACCGATAGCTGCCCTCTCCGAGACGTAAACCAGATAGGTCGAGTTTTCAAAGACGGGCGGTTTGTTGTTGACATCGATGATGGTCACGGTGACGGTAGTAGTGGCGGTCTCGCGTATCGGAGTCCCGGAATCTATGGCGTAGACGATCACTTCGTACCGATCGCCACCCGTTTCGAGGTCCAGCCTCGCGTCGGGTGACACGGTTATCACCCCGGAGCTCGAGTTGATCACAAAGTTGTCCTTCGCTCCCGACCTGATCTGGTACTGGAGCAGATTGTCGCGGCCGTCCGGGTCATTTGCCATGACACGGATGACCTCGGTGCCTGGCGTGGCATTCTCGAGTATCCTCGCGCGATACGCATTTGGTCCAGGTAGACTGGACTTGAAATTGCCGCGAAATATGGGCTTCTGGTTGCCCGGCACACCGACGCGGATGTAAATTTTCGCCTCGGCGAATTTCGCTGGTGTTCCATAATCCGTCGAACGGACCGTTAGTTCGTAGATGCCGCGCTCGGTGTCGCTCGAGCGAGCTGGGCTAGCGAGGGTCAGTTCTCCGGTGTCGGGGTGGATCTGAGGATGTAGACAGTGATTTGTTTTTTATACAGTGTTGCATCAATCCCAGAGTTACCATCATCATTGTTTTCGAGCAATTTACTGATATTGTGGTGTAAACGAAAATAGAACACCGACAACTACCCCAATTATAACAAAAACCCCAGCATATATCACACCTTCAAAACCCCGTCGTTCATGCTGTTGTGTTGGCTAATGGAATACGTAATCCTGCCATCCCCCTGGCTTGGTCCGTCCACATCGGTGGCCCTGATGAACATCTGTGGATCAAAGCTGGTGGCGCCCTCTCGGACGATCCTCGTGTACTCGGACTGCTCGAAGACGGGCTCGTTGTCGTTGACATCCTCGAGATCAACGAGTACGTTGACCGTCGAGATCTTGCCCCCGCCGTCCCTGGCCTCCATGGTTAGCGAGTACGACTTTTGGACCTCGTAGTCCAGACCCTTGGCCACGTACACCCCACCGCTCTGCGCATCCGTGCGGAACCTCTCCGCCCCAAAGCCCCGCAAATTGTACGTGAGCTCGCCGTAGAGGTCGCTGTCGTCGTCCCTGGCTCGCACGTCCCCGAACTTACGGCCGATCTCCGCGTCCTCGGGCACCGTAAGCCGGTACACGGACTTGGAAAATTCGGGGCTGTGGTCGTTCGCGTCGACCAACTGCAGGTGGACCGTCGACGAGGCCACCTGTGAGAAACGCGTCAATTAAAAAACCGAGTCAACCAACCCGGTAACTTGTATAACACGACACGTGAAATTGTTCCCATAATTCTCTAACGCCGAGGCTTAACTCTCGCGTTAATGACGTTGTGCAAGCCAGATGTGCACACAATGATATACGCGGAATCGCACCTCGGTCGGATTAATTAGCCGAGAAAGTTGCTGAATTTGAATACGCGCGTTATAATTTCATTCGTGCGGAGTAGTGCATTTATGAATAATATGTACATTTATACATACTTTTCGTTACATAAAGCGGAAGCCAACGCGTGCGTTTCACGTTACGTAAGCTAAGCGAACAATACGGAATAATTTATTCAATGCAACACGTATATATTAATACATATAGTACTCGAACAACCTTTTGTTTAATTATGAATAGTGTAAATGTATTGAATAATAAAAATATGATGAAATAGTGTACACGTGCCATCCGATTTCCCGAAGCAAAACTGCATAAAGCCATGACGTATTATCCACTTACGACTCGATTCCCGACCAAAGCGGTGACCTCGAACTCGAGCTCCCTGTTGTCGGGCAAGTCGTAATCCAGAACGCTCGAGTCCCTGGCTCTGATGACAACCGACACGCGGCCCTGTCCCTCCTCCGGACTGATGGCGAAAGCCGCGCTCACCCCCGGGTAATTCGGCGCGTCGGCCAGGGCCAGTTTGTACTTTGCGTTCTCCCCCACGTCGTCGTCGGTCACCAGCATGTTCAGACCTATATACGGGAGCAACGTAATTTTCAGGGAAGGTCGAATTAGCAAAGGGGGACAAAACAGTGCGGCTCAACGGACCAGGTAGCGGCGTGTCGGTGCCAATGTCCTCGGAGATCCTGAGGCTGAACAGCTCCTCGCTGAACCTGGGCGCCACGTCGTCGACGTCGGTGACCACGATCGTGACCATGGACATCGAGGAATCGGCCGGGCGTAGTTCACCGCCAACCAGCTCGGTGGCCCGGACCTCGAAGCTGTAGATGCCGCCGTTCTCGAGGATGCTCGGGTCTTCGCGGTCGAGCGAGACGTTGGTCGTCACGAGGCGGCCGAGGGTCACGTCGCCCTGGCGCTCGGTCTCGAGGCGGAAGTAGCCCACGGTCTCGTGCTCGAGACTCAGCGCCAGGGGCCGGGGCTGGCCCGTGTCGCCGTCCCGAGCACGGACCGTGAGTACCGTCACCTCGGCCGGACTGTTTTCGGGCAGGGCCGCGCTGTACGGCGCGTTCAGGAAAGTCGGCGGCTGGTCCTATATACGTAACATTTATGCCCCTTCCATGAGTAAAACGACTAAGACAACGTTTCTCCACCCTTCTTTTTTTCATAACGAATGTATTTCTGTATCGATGCATAAAGTACCGTTTGTAAACTTGAAAGCAAACTCGCGATGTTTAAAGGGCTATTTGGGTATGCATTCAAATTGGGCTCGGCACGCGTGAAAAAAAAAAAAAAATGATTCAACAGAATGGAAATGAAGGGGTTGGTACCTGAACGTCGAGCACGTCGACGGCGACGGTGGCCTTTGCCTGTAGCCTCTTGAGGGGATCGCTGGCCCCGTCCGTGGCGACCAGGTTGATGAGGTACGAGTTCCTCCGCTCGTAGTCCAGAGGCTCCGTGAGTGTGATCTGCACGTCGTACTTACCCTCTGCCAGCTGCCAAAGTTTTTACAGGAAAAAAAAAAAAAAAAAAAAAAAAAAAAAAAAAAAAAAAAAAAAAAACCACACATCCGTCGACATTGGTGAGGAGAGTTTTTTATTATTGGAAGAAACGGACCTTGGTCGCGGAGACGGCAAACACGCGGCAGGCGTCGTCGTCCCTGGTGGCTGGGACGCAGGTGACGGTGACATCGGCGTTGACACCACCGTCGCGATCGGTAACCACGATGGTGCGGGCCGCGAGTAACGGACCACCCACTCGGGCGCTCTCCGGGACTCGGGCGGCGTACGGCCGGCCCAGGTAGACCGGCGGATTGTCGTTCTCGTCGAGGACTGCTATCTCGCGGCGCAGCGACATGGTGTTCGGCTCCGAACCGGCTATACCCTCGTCTGACATTGAGCGAGATATTAAAACGATTCATTTTTTCTCGTGGAGTTTTTCATGTGGTTGGATGCGTATGCAAGAAGTTTATCATAACTACTTGTGTGTGTGTGTGTGTGTGTGTGTTTTTTTTGAGCCGATTTTATTGCACGTTAAAATAATTAACACGTTCGAGTTGAATAATCATGAATAATATGTAACCCATTTAATTTGACGTAAGTGAATGATTCAGTTATCTTGTACTTAAAGTGGTCAGTGGTGTTAATTATTATTAAATCTGAGATGTAAGATTCACAATTGAGCGAAATTACAATGTCTTTGAATGAAAAAAAGTAAATTGCACTAATCGTACGATAAATTCAATTATATTGATAATCGTATGGCCTAAACAGTTTACCGAATAGCTTGATTATTTAGGTTCTGAAAATAATTTGAAAATAATATGCCATGTAGTGTTGGTCAAACAGCAAAAACCGATGATGTTAGAAAAAAGTAAAAAAAAACGTCATGATAAATCCAACAATCAACAAATCAATTTTCATTTTGCGTATTATCAAACGTGTCCTCTTTTGCGAAACCACAAAAAAAAAAAAAAAAAAAAAAAAGAGAGAAAACCCACCAGTGATGCTAATGATGACCTCGATGATGTCTTGCGCCTCTCGATCCAGCGCCCTCCTGAGCACAACGACACCCGTGTCCCTGTCGACGCTAAAGTGCTCCCCGCTGATAGAGTAGCGCAACTTCGACCCCTCCGGATCCTCGGCCTGGAGCGTGTAAACCGGGGCCCCGGGTGGCGTGCCCTCCGACACGGCCAGCCGAGCCATGTCGCCGCCGTGGACAAAGTACGGGGCCCGGTTGACCGCCTGATGACCCCAGCCCGACCAGCAACACCAGCCCAGCGTGAGCAGTGCCAGCCGGCCCAGCACCGTCACCGGCTTCGACATCTCTCTGGACCTACGATTTTTTAATTACATCAACTCTTGACGATGATCATTACCGACTACAACCAAATGAATGTGATATGATCAACTAATTTTTGCTCGACGATATCTTTAACTTTACATACATGTCAATGTTTGTCTCGTATCACAGTTTCCGACAACTTCGCGGTTATAGATCAGTTGGGTGGATTGAATTAAAGTTCATCCATATGAGGGTTACTTTATTGTTACTTTGGGTTTAATTGCGCCATACACTGTAGACACCGATTTTCCCGTTTACGGAACCATATAGATGCGTTGGCTCGGAAAAAACACGGGTACACGAGCGTGAGAAAATCCAGTGTATCGTAGAGTCGTTGCGTTTCACTCGCTTACATGATATATAGGAAGTAACAACAAAGCTGTGAAAATTACCATCTTTACACACGTGTGGTATGTGCGAGTAAAAAAACTAGAGGTGTTTCCACCAAGTACAACAAGACACTCCCCCCCTCGGTGGGACACGGAATTATTTGTTTTTTCGTTGCTTCACGAAACTCGATATAAATATAAAAGGCTCGATGGATTCGATTGAATTATAGTACAGCTTGTCTAATAGGTGCGGTGTGACAATAAAAAAAAAAAAAAAAAAAACGCGCTCTCGCTCATAAATGTATAAATTCTTTGGAGTCCGGTACGAGTGAGTGGCATCGGTGTTTTTTTAATTAAAAAAAGATGATAGAAAATCCCATGTTCCTTCGATTTCTCGGCAGGTATTGACAAACAGCTCTCTCCGTCTCCTAAAGGCAACTCGAGTGGGATCGCCTTTCGATTTTTTCGTTTTACCGCTCGACCAGAGAGAGAGAGAGAGTCGTTAAGTATGGCGAGAAAAGGCAAAAACGGCACCTAAGCAGTTAACCAGAGTATACATCAGCGGGCATGTACATGTACGCATGGTACTCGCCAACAATGGCCCTGAGCTCGTTCGCTCGCTCCCTCCGATAATCCATATTATACTCTCGTACGTATATCGGCCGGCATTCGACTTTCACCACTCGCGTGTATATTATACTTACGTAGATGTACTCTCTCCCTTCGTGCCTTTTCCTTCTCCCTCCTCCTTCATATCGCCCAACTCGTGTGTTGTATGGTCAAGACAAAAGTATACACGTAAAGTGAGATAAGGAGTATACGTAAATGTAGACGAGAAGGTGAACGAGTTATAATCCGTATATACCGTCCCGATCAATTTTTCCATACTTTGCTCTTTTTTTTTTTTTTTTTTTTTCCAATTTTCAAGTTTAGTTGTACCTGAATCTAACTCGTGTGGATATCCATTAAAAAGCAAATTGTGCACATAAATTGTTTCGAGTCAATGAAACTTGAGTGATTTTTTGACAAAAAGTAAGAATGGTACACTTAAAGCGCTGTTTTGAGAAAAAATTCACTGAAAGGCCCGAGTCTCTTTTACCGCGGATAATAATTCCATCAGATTTAGGAGAAAAAGTATGTTTTACGAGCCATCCCCCCCTGCACATGATTATACAGATTACAAGGATCATGCACCATAATGCTACAGGTGCCGCGAGACTCTCGTTACTCGTTACGCAACGCGAGTCGAGGTAATTTCCGATACATGTACATATATATACGCGTAAGTACATACATTCAGACACGTGTCATTAGAGTCAATCGTGTCGATGGACATATGCGTGCAAGAATGCCAAAACCGACTGTATACAATGTAGTTATTTGTGCAAATACATGTACAACGAATAAGTAATGGATGTCGGGTCTAAAGTGTGCATAACGAGGTGAATCGATCCGAGGAGTGATTTAACGAGGCAACTGCGCGCACGCCAACCAAGTAGGTACATCTTTTCCTGCAGTGACACCCGTACACCTACTTATACGGCGCATTGTGTGCTCTCGCGAGGCGTGTATAATTTCGCCGAGATCGGCGGAACGAGAGTAGTACAGAGAGAGAGAGTAGTGAACTTGAGAGTGAATCGCGTGCGTGTGCAAATGGCACGTGATGGTAATTTATATACGTGCCGCGTTGGAAGTGCCGATAAATAATCATGAGTTTCGATATGTCCACGATTGCGAGCTGTTTGAACGAGGAGAAAAAGAGTTTGTCGAACCGATGGTCATAAAAGATAATGCGGGGCAATTGGGTGACATTAGTCTAGGAGGAAATGTGTACTTATTATTACTTCATCTTTGGAGTTTACGGGGATTTGCGAATATTACAGACTTGGCTTGCACGTGTACCCATACTTGTATCCACTAAACGGACCTTCGGACTCTCTTCGTTTCCATGTAATAAGTGTATTATGGCTATAATACATATATACAATACCTTCCTTTCGAAAACCAGGAGTTTCTTTTTTTTTTTTTTTTTTTTTTTTTTTTTTTTTTACTTCGTATACGTACAGGTAAATATATCATTTATGTAATTAAATGCGCAATAAAAATACTAAAATTAACAGATATTCTTTCCTCACCACCTTGCGGTCAGTATCGGGGCATTTTTTTTTTTTTTTCTCAAGAACTGCACTAGTTGCAGTGCGCGCTGTATCATTTAGGCGCATGGAAAAGCAACAATTGAAACCACAACCATACATACATACACCGGGCGGGATGGTTATCGAGATTCCATTCGAAACCAGCCGCGCACGTGATTCCTGACTTTCGAAAGCTAGAGATGCGGTAATAGGATTATTAAACAGCCAATCTTTGTTTTTTTTTTTTTGCGCGTGACGTAACAACAAAGAGCGAACGAACCGCACGGACGATTTTGATCTATACACACCGCGTGGGCGAATAAGGGTTTATCAGCTTTTGTACGAAAATATAGTTGGAAGGTGTATTTTCCGATTTTCTTGACACCCACGACGATCCCAGTGTATTCTATTATAATAATGCTTGCTGATCATCGTCATTAACGCACTGTAAATTTAAAGTTCTCGAAACCGTTCATAGGTACACTATTTTGGTGCATCATGCGCAATCCTTATTTTTCTCCCGCAAGTAGAAGGTAATTTCGTTGGAAAATCCTAAGCATTTGTTTTTTTTTTATTGAAATAGTATAGAAAAGCCTTAAAAGAAAAAAGGATCATTTCGAGACATTTACTTAAGATGTCTCCGTATATACGCTTATAAATATATGTGTACAAGTGTGCGCCCGAAGAAGGAAGATATTGTATACGCATTGCGCGCAAAACGCGATTCCGAGGTCATTGTTGGCTCGCGGAAACTGGTTGGGCAAAAATAACTCGAGCCGCGAGTGAAGCCGTGCTCCTGCTTATAACATATTTTTCCTCTCACACTCCGACCATCGTTTCTATTTTTGCTTTCTTTCAAAACCCACCCATTAATTTTACCATTTTCTTCACCGTAATGTATGCAACCTTTAATATTCATCTATAAACGTATAAAATGTACAAATAATAATAATAATCAGACGCACGTGTGTATACATGTCGTATTCGAAAAAAAAAACAAAAAAAAGAAAAACACTTCGAGCGTTTCGTCACACCGCGTGTCAAAATTTCAATGTCAATCGCGCGTGCCACAATCAATACACACCGTCAGTGACAGAGAAAGGGATCCCTAAGAAACTACTATAGAAAGACGGAAGGAAAAAATCGAGCAAACGCAGCGCGCTCGCGCATATACACATTTAGGCGAACGCTTGACAATGGTCCCGTAAATCGCGGGTATAGATACAACGTTGTACAAAACCGCCCTCGTTCGACAAATAGTAAGCAACCGAACAACCAACTGCACACAACTGTATATAGCTCCATACATACGAAGGGGGGGGGGGCAAATAAAGAAAGAGCTCGTGCATGTAAATGCGTATATATAAAATACACCCATGTATTCATGGGTATAAACGCCCCCGCACGCTCGCTTCCACACGGGCATTGAAGTCTCCAACGCGGGGCGAGTTATTGTAAGTATATGTACATGGTGTATAGAGTATGTATATGGTAGTCGTTTGCGAGGTCAAGTCAGCCGAGTCGGACTGGTCGGCTTTATACGAGTATTCGGGCCGACGAACTGGCGTGGCGTGTATAATATATAATGGTATACCCATATAGCTGAGAGTATACCTTTTACACACCTATACATGTGCGTTAAAGTGTTGGGTATAGGTATATATATATATACTGACCATCGCGTCCCTTTATCCCTCGACTGTACCCGCGGATCCTCGATGTGGTGGAAAATTTTTTATTTTTTCATCATCGCGACAAAGCGACCCCCTCTGTGGTGGGTGGCAAATCGCGCGCTCCGAGAGAGTGATTTCCACTCCTGACCGAGATGTTGGAGAGAGCAATCGAGCGAAGAGAGAAGCATCATCGGGAGGAATCCAGTTTGAAACGATCGGATCGGCACCGAAGAGCAGGAAGAAAAAAAAAAAAAAAAAAAAAAAGGAGCCGTCCCAGAGACGTTCTACCATATATACGTAAAAGTACCACTGCGGCCCATCTATGCTATATGTGTATCCGGCATCATAACTGTTCCAACGACTAGTCCCGCGCCGTCTCCTTTTGCCGCGGTCTTTTTTTTTTCCCTCCTCGTTCTCTCTTCTTTCTGCTCGTCCCGTCTATACATATACATATACGTACAACAGAGAAGAGTACAAGGAGGATAAAACCGTTATATACCCAAGTGCTCCGCGCAAAGTCCGCGCTCGGGCTACCGTATATTATTCACGTATACTACGTCGGCCACGCGCTCAGTACGTATTATACCTTATGTTCTCGCTCATCCCCCTGTACGTAAAAAATAACGTCTTCTCTCTCTGTTTTCACGAAGCACCCCATAATATATACGTATGTTTTCCAGCGTATGGGTGTTGGTGCGCCTAACACCGATCCTTCAACCGAATGACCTGCAATCCCGGGGCTCGCGTGATCGGTACACCTACGCGCTATTTGAACTTGTCCCAAATGTACCGATACATCCGTTTCGGAGATCTTCGCGTACGATAAACCGGTTTGCGGGCGCTG